CTGGGACTGGCTCTTGAGGCGTTGCGGGATCGTGCTTTGTGGAGGCGGATGGGTGCAGATCGGCTTCGTGAAGCTGGGTTTGATGAAGGGACTGTTGAGAAATGGGCTAGTAATAGGGCGTTTGTGGGGTTGGATGGTGGTGCCAATGGCGTGGGGCACAGAGATATTGGCCGTGATAGGGATAGGGATGTGGAGGATGTGAAGTGGGTGAAACAGGGAGAAAAGAGGGAGTGGGATCGTGGGAAAGTTTTGATGGATGACGGGCGCGTTGATGTTAGGCCTGAGTGGTAGTTTTTGCAATTCTGCGAACGACTATCGGGCGTTTTAACTGGTGGAAGAGCGGATTTGGCCATAACCATATCTTTGGCATATTGTTGGCTTTTATTTCTTTTTGGATGTTGTCATCATATTGCTTGCTTTGTCCGCCCTGTCTTCGTATATCATCCTCATTATTGCACTTGCAGCCGTGGTTGCATGAATTGCTGATAGATGCTATTCGCATGAGCTATATACGGCACAGACTTGTCTGGATACCTGGATATATCATCCCCAGGTTGTTTCGGTCGTACGAGATGTATGTCCGACCTTTAGTCCCCATGCATCTCCTTCGTTTGACTCAATACACCACTCCACCCACCGTGTGTCCCCCTCCCCAGGGCTGGAGACATATAGTCCCCTCACCTCTACCATCCCTCTCATGGGCTCCCTCCATATCTTATCGCATGAATTCACTATAATAGACCACATAACTCACCTCTCACATAATCGTCAATCATCCCAAATGAGGCGTCTTCTCCACTTTCTCCATTTTGACAACAAACCACCAAAGCCATCCATGACATCAGTCCCTCGCAAGTAGATTATGCCATCTGTCGTATGTGGCTGCAGCTGTTATTCTAACGCTGTGTAAAACAACTTCAGACGGACCAAACAAGAATAACAAACGAATGCCACCCTTGATCAAGGCCATGCATATCATGTTTTTTATTTCTGGCCGTTCTCATGTAAGGACTCTTTAGGTGTTGCATTTTGTACAGTACATGTACGTAGTCGCAAGCAC